TCTCCCCCTCCTATTGGCTCGAGCTGAATTCTCCTGATAAAACCCTGCTGCGTTCTCACATCAGCTCACTCAGACATGCTGCAGAAAAACTACTAGGAGGCTGGCCGGAGAAACTCCAGATGAATCATAGTGACAAATGTTGCTGTTTACATTCACATATACAGCTCCTCCTTGAAATATCAGGAGTTTTAAGAAGTTTACTGCAAGTGTGAAAGCCCTTACTGATTACATTTGCTGCCTCTACCTTCTTCCCATTTTAAGTAACTTTGGGGAACTTCACATAACGACTGCTGCAGTGGTTCTTCCCTGGAGGTCATTCTTATTTAACTGCATACCAATAAGATTTATGTTTCATCCCCCTATGCTTCACAAATATCCATTACATCCATGTTCTTGCTTCCCTGTTCTTGATTGCAGTTTGTGTTTGGTGGCACGTCGTCATCGTTTTAAATAAGTTTCATTTGTTTCTTGTGGACCGATACTCATGCATGTTAAGTAGTGATTATTTGGCCTCGCCCGGCGCCGTTAATTGTGTCATGTCGCTTTGAAAGCTCGCACATCAAATCGCTGATTGCCAGACCTCTTTATAGCTGACAAATGCGGCTAATTGGCAATCAACCTAATAGGACCCATCTTGGTGGCAGTGTTTGTCATCGCAAGCTAAAGAGTCAAAGTCATTTCCCAGTGAGGGGTTACTTTACGTCCGCTGCGTGTGTGTGTGTGTGTGTGTGTGTGTGTGTGTGTGTGTGTGTGTGTGTGTGTGTGTGTGTGTGTGTGTGTGTGTGTGTGTGTGTGTGTGTGTGTGTGTGTGTGTGTGTGTGTGTGGGTGGATGAGACAGAGAGAAAGCAAGGGTGATAAAGTGATCTGCTCTGGCAACAACTAAAACTTTTATGTGTTCCCAGAGAAAAATCAAAGAGCAGTGTTCTGCACCCTGAGAACTTTCTTTTTTGTGAGTTGTAGTCGATGAACGAGTACACGCTGGCGTTCAGCCTGATGCTGGACACCTGCCATAAACACTGGCCTGAGGAAAATCCACCTACCGCCTTTAAACAACACGTTTGAAGAGCTGCAGCAGTCAGGGAACTTACAAAAAAGGACATCATAATGAACACTGAGGCATAGCTGGAGCATTTCAGCACCATGGACAGCGCCAGGAGCCTAGGTGAAAAGAAACCTGAAGGCGGCCTTTGGAGGGACTCCGGTTTGACAGCAATCGAGAGTATCACATATTTTATTGTTTCACCTTCAGGCAGAGGGACACTGTGTAGTTTCATGGTCCAAACCAAAGTGGACATTTTGCTTTTTATTTGGTTTGATCTATGTCTTCAAATTCCTCAATAATGTACAAAGTCAGTAAATAAAATATCTCAAGGGCTCAAATTTATATCTTCAAAAGCTTTTTTTTTTTTCTAGGAGGAGGGTTGAGACTTTGACAATTAAAGAACTGAGAAAAAAATCCTGTAGTATGATGTGCTATTATTTTCATATCTTGTAGCGTGTGTATGTTTGAGATTACGGAGATGATTTGTTGTGTCTGATGCTACCTGAATTCGAAATCATGAATTTTAAATCTCCTTTAGTCTGAACCAGGATTTAATGAGTCACTAAATAGGTGGTCCCCAAACTTTTTCTGCTGGGTCCCCCCTTGGCAGATGAAATATTTTCAAGCCCACCCCTCACCATACATGTCGACACTAAACTTATATCGACACACACTCATCCCACTGTCCGTCACTCTCTTTGCCAACAGACTCCTTTATTTTTAGGATTTATCTGAATCACTATCTGCAACAAGGTCAGAAAGGAAACGTCAGAGTGTGACACGAATTGAAAAGACTAATTAACAGCTTTTACAGAGGAAGCAATTAAAAGAGATACTGCTAACATGAAAGTTCACAACATTTAAGATGTAACAACAGTCATTGCTTTAAAAAAAGATGTTTTCTAAACCCGAATCTCTGAAGACTAACAGCTCCCTGAGAAGCTTCAAAGTTTATACTTCAGTCCTGCAATCATTTCAACGACTTGTTTTGATCTTTTCAAGTCCGGTGTGCAGCTGTGAGACTGACACTCTTCATTTTCAAGGTCCAGCTTTGATCTGAATCATGTCTTGATTGCAGAAAACCTCTCTGACTTAACAGTCAGTCAGGTTGAAAATGACAAAAAAAACTCTCAGCAAGTCAAGTGTTCGACCTTCATTCCCTAAAACTCCTCCAGACGGACTCAGCTGAGGTCGATAACAATGACCAGCTGCTGAGAGGGTGAGCAAGTGCATGATGGGAGTCCACTCCGGTTTCATTTCTTATTTTTATGCCTCATCAGTGAAACTGTTATGCAGCGTTCTTCGCCTTTATTATGTTGGATTCTTCATTATACAAAGTTATCGACCGGCGATAAACAAAAGATAATGGAGGCAAATGGACTGAAGCCTCTTTTTGTCAGGTATTCAATGCCGTTACCCTTCACACCAACATCCCTCCTGTCTTCACACCTGCTGGGCTTGAGTTTGTCTCTAGCTCCTGATTTTTATAGTGAGGATTTAGGAGAGAAAAGAACAGCGGTGATAAAAGACATCCTGGACTCCGACCTGTCCTCTGCAGCTCGACGAGTGCTGCAGACTCCGGGTCAGCGGCTCAAACAGCCACTACTGAAACAGGTCGTTCATCTTCATTTGATCATGTGATGCTCTCTATGAATCACATTTACCTTGTAGTGCACAACACACCCGTGACCCTTTTAATAATGCATCCTCTCCTCAATGTTAACGACTCGTGGGAGGAGTGAGACCAGAGAAGAGAGAATGCACTGGTCATGAGGAAGAATCTTAAGGAGCAAATTGAACTGAGGAGAGAAAAGTGACCTCATGTATTCACAGGAAACGGCGTGTCATAGCAGCAGTAAAAACTGCTTTTTTGTTTTGTTTGGATGTATTTGTTGTCGCTTTTCTAAGTGCGCAGAACCAAACAGCTGATCAGTGCTGAAGAACAGGTATGCTATGAGCGGAAGTAGAGCTAAATCAAATGGGTTCGCGAACAGAGAAGTAAAGCGCTGTTATTTTTTTCAGTTTAGTACGGAGCCCCTGAAGGCCCAAAAAGGAAAGAAAAAATACTACAAATGAATATTGTGTGCACAAGATATACACTAACTTTTTTTTTTTTTTCGGACTTCAGGGGCTCTGTAGTATACTTTGTTTTTATGTTGTTTTTTAGCTCGGTGTTTATAAAAATTCTCATTTGAGGGTTCTCTGGTGGCTCATAAACTTACTGTTGACAAGTACACCATACAGCCCCACTTCAAAAATACAGAACTATCCCTTTAATGCACTTGTATGTGCTGTCTGAGCTGTTTGAACCTGTCGCTCAGTGTGCATGGACTTTTGGTTTTCACTTCAGCTGTGGAATTCCTGTATGTCTGTATTTAGGCTCTCAAGTAGACGGAGCTCCCCTACCTTCAGCGAGGTGATCTGTCACTACTACCACCTGACGTCCCCGACGCCCAGCCACCACCATCGGACTGTGTCGTCCCCACAACGACCACCGTCCTCCTTCATGCACGGCCTGCTCCGACCTCCACCTCAGCGGTAAGGAAGTGTGGACAACAGGAACGAGAGGAATACAAAGGAGAAATCCTTCCTGCATATTATCCCATATTCTCTTCTGTAAAGCGTCTGGAGATAACACTTGATGTCTCTCGATGTCTCGTTTCCTTCAACATAATTATAATGAAGTTGAAGTTCAACAGATTAATCGGTTACATTTATATTGTAACCAGTCCAACCCGACATTTAGATGTGTTTAAAAGACATTTCCACTTTTGAAACAGAGCTGTTTTTGTCAGCCATTTTGATCAAATGTTCAAAGGGCTTGCCGTAGGACAAAAGAAGATCTAGTTTTTCTTTATCTCTTGCTGTCGAGTGAACCAGTCGAGGCTCCAGCTGAACTTTCTTGCAGACATTAAAGTCACCCAGACAGCGTCTTTTTGTATCCACCTCATGCAGTGTGGTCTTCAGAGCTCGCCACAAACATCTCCGTCGCTCATCTGCCTCGTGATTAAATTGCCTTAAAGTATCACTCCCATTTAATTACTGTCATTATCATCAATGAGAAATTACCAGCGCCTGAAAACGGCAGGGTTAATTAGGCTTTCAGGGACGCAGGGAGATGACTTATTTATCAGTGGTCGCCTGTGAAGGGAAGATATGAATTGGGTGTTAACTTCACGTGGAGTGTGCTCTGCTTCCTTAACTAGCTCTGACTCACTTCACTCCTCCTGACTCCTTCTTTTGTGTCCTCATCCCAATTTGCTTTCAGTGTCACACACAGTAACAGAGTGTTAGCGTTTCAGTCCTGTTATGGAAACTTTAACACTGATGTCCTTTCAAACAAACAGACAGACACATTTCTATGATGGCTCTCTCCATTCTGCAGCAGCTGCTCACAGATCAGTTTGTCCCGCAGGTATGAAAGGATTCTTTTCTATTCCTGCTGGAAGAATGGCCGTAACCTTTTTTCTGTGTTCATCAAGCGACACACCAAAACAAAAAGACGTTCATCAACAAATCATTCTGCACATCAAAAGACAACAGAAGCCCTCTCTCTCGCTTCTCTTTCCCTCAAAAAGTGCAGCTCTCTCTATTTGGGCATCCGAATCAGTAAAATCAGGTTGTGTTGAGATGTCTTTGAAACAAAAACGTCCCCACTCTTGGATCTTGATGGCGCATGATTGAAGAGTACTTCTCAAAGCCGTGGTTACGTTTTTTTTTTAAAGGTGAGCAATTTTCATTTCAGCGTATCTCTCCTGCAGCTGATTTCACAGTAAAAAAAAAAAAAAAAAAAAAGAAGAAGGCCCTTCAAGTCGGCCTGGCAGGAAATAACCATTGCAGTTTCATCGGAAACATCAGCGTTTTCAGAATCAGAATCAGAAATACTTTATGAATCCCGGGGGGGAAATTTGTAAATTGTTGTTGTTTTAAAGGAAGCAGATAAAAAGAAGCGCTTACTTCTTGGGTGGCACCTGTCCCACGTTGACGCGCACGCAGATGACCTTGCGGGTCTGCATCCCCGTGGAGCAGGGACCCTGGCGGTTGCGGACGACAGTGGAGATGTTGAGGGAGGAGGCGGAGGGGTCGTCGGAGCACGGTCCCCAAGGCCCCGTCTGCCAGTGATAGACCGTGCAGGCGTGCTCGTTACAGTTCCGTACCTCCTGGAGAACGCTGCTGTTCGGGCACACGGCGCCACCTGAGAGTAACAGACACAGTGGAGGTGAGAATACAGAAGAGAAGAGAAGAGGAAGGAAAAAAGCCGGATGGGTCTCCTTTGTGTACAGAGCTCAACTGTGACCGCCCACTTGTTTGGCGGCTCTGGTTCCAGAAGTAAAATGTCCCTCTTCCAATCCCACTTACGGTATATCAAGATAATGAAGCCTGTAACCATGACAACCAGCTACCCCTATACTCGTGACTACAGAACATTTGATTCAGTGACAAAAAGTTGTGAAAAATTTCGAAAAAGGCAAAGGTACAAGACTGTGTACATCATTTTCGTCCGGAGTCAAGGAACTACAAATCCCACAATCCATTGCGAATGATACCTTTATAGGAACTTTAGTCGTGTTTATTCTCTTAATACACACGATGTAGTATGTTGTAGTTTGTGTTGTTAAATGTATAAACTACATTCACTGCTTCATATCAAGGTTAATAAAACCTTTTGTGTTAGCTGCTTCAGCTAGCCTGCTAGCCAAAATACCCGTCTGCACTCGGCGCTGAGAATGTGAAAACACATCTCTGTTGTTCCTCTTTTATTCTTCTATGTTTTTCAAATTTGTTGTGTTTCCAGACGACTTTATTTGGACATCTCATACATATTCCATTTGTCTCGGTAAAAACCTTCTTCTTGCTTTATGCGGTGCCTGATTTGTTTGTCAATTTATTTGATTTCTTGGCTTTAAAGCTCGGTAATGCACTTTGTTTTCAGTTTGTCTGTTTTCATCTCTTCCTTCTTCATTTTATTCTGTAGCACTCAGAGCTGCCCCCCCCCTCCCCTCCTGTATGTAAGGTGCTGTATAAATAAAAAGGTTTGATTATATTTCAGGTGTTTTCACATTCTGTACGACCAAGCTGTTTTCATGCACATATTTCAGTGTTCCAGTTGGTATGTATGCTTCAGAGAGAGGAGTTGTTGACTCCAGCTGTCGGTGGCAGGTCAGACTCTCAGCGCCCTGTTCTGCTGTGTACAACCTCTGTTTATTGTTTTTCCCTTGCCCAGAATAACATGCCTGTTTGCGCCTTTCTGTCCCACTCTGATTTCTCTTTCGAGGCGGCAGGCAGTCAGTCAGTCAGTCAGTCAGTGGTCGGGTCGATGGACGGAGAGAGCCCTCTCCGCTTTAGAGTAACTGCCGACACTTAGGGGCTTTCAGCAGAGATGGAGAGGCGTTGCGGGACAGCGAGTCCTCCACACCTGTATTTCTCTACCGGGAGTTGACAGAGAGCCAGCTCCATAATGAGCGGCCCTGTACACACTGTTGGGCCTGAATCACACACTGCCAACTCAGACAAATCTCCACCTAATGATCACTGAGAACGGCTTCCTCTGGTGACGGTGCCATGCCAGCACAGCTGACTAACAACGTGCCCATGCCGGTCCCAACACATGCACAACACAGCGCCTCAAACGAGCTGCTGCTGAACAATCACCTACAAGCGCTACATGTCGGGCCATGTGGACAGAATGAAAACAACCTTTCAGGAGACACACAACACCACATGATGGGGCAATAAACAAAGACAGCATATGAGTGCTATATCAACATTATTTGCAGGATCCTTCACAAAGAGCTGAGCAGAGTTCATAAACTGATATAAGAATCAGGATGCAGTTAATGCAGAGATCTGATAGTCGGCTGTGCCAGGGCTGGGTTCACATCATCGTGCTGACTGCATGACCTGTTGATTAATCAAGTTTTCATATGAAGAAATGCAATTTATCAGCAAGCAAATCATCGAAAACAGCAAAGTGTGTCCTTGGTAAGTTTTAACAATTCTCCTCTTGAAATAGATACATAACAGATAAGGTATTTCATAAAAGCCTAACTTTCAGTCAACCTAACGACAGGCTGAGAGCTGGAGCTGAGGCGGGATTTAAGTCTCCGTTACATCGCACCCACCTGTCAATCATGTCAGCTTATCCACCTAACTAGGGATAACAGGAATCGTTCTTAGATCAAAACAGAGCCGTTTTAAAAAAAGAAAAAATCACACCCCGTACAGTGTGTGCCCATGATGACAATAACTAATCAGACCTATTTAGTTTTTTGTACCAGGCTGTAAACATGTTTATTTATGCTGTCTTCCTGTAGCCAGCCTCTAGTGGACACTCGATGAACTGCAGGATTTTGCACTTCTGCATTGGCTTAATTTCAAAACCGGAGGTTGCCGCTTGGTATAAACTCTTTAAGTTTAAGTTGGTACTTTCAGTGATTGCTATCCAACCTTCAAACTATGCATCTTAAATATTACTTGACTGATGGCTGTTAGTGAGCGACACTCAGTCCCACGACAATCACCTACAAACTAAATGTGAGCAGTTTGATATAAAGGTTATTGATTGAGCTTATTAATGCGTTCATTAGCACTTTATTCTCTGCAGACATATTGGTGATTGCTTATTATTTTGATCCCTTTATCTCAAAGCTTTGAGAGGTTGCTTCAGTTTCAACAATTGATTTTTTTTCTTCACTTTATTAATATGCAAGACAGGAGCCGGAAAAACCTGCCAAGGAGCTCAAAATCTAATCAGATAATCTGCTCTGCTGGGGGAACCTGTGGCGAGGATACAAAGCTGCTATCAGACAGTGTTCTTTAGTGTATGTGCGTGTGTGTGTGTGTGTGTGTGTGTGTGTGTGTGTGTGTGTGTGTGTTCAGAAAACAAACGTGTCTGAACAGACGGCAGACAAAAGTTTGATATTGTTTCCTAAAGCTACGACAAGTACAGCTGCTACATCTCTAGACCAAAGTCAAAGATTTACCGAAAAGTTCAGGAAACTTTGGCACCCGAGAAAGACCTTCAAAAAATAAAGATATAGAATATGTTAATGTGACAGGTGAGATAAGCAGAGCATGAGCTAGTTGTAACGTCGAACAGCTACAAGCAGCTAGCACAATCACGCTACTTCACACATGGCCAACGAGGCCTGACTCCACTACAACAGGCTGAATATGTTCAGAATCAATTAAAAGTCAGCCTGAAGCTGTTATGATAATGCCGTTTTTTTTAAAAGTCAAAACAAGCGTACACTTCCTTTTTTTTTCTACTTGTAGACACATAGCTAGAGGTTTGAAACAGATACCAGCTTTAATTACAAATGTTACCCTCCATCACCGTGATCCAGGCCACAACCATCGCAGTGACTGTGAGGAAAACACACTCCAATAAGACACAGAGACATGACACAAAGGGAGAGACAGACAGACACACACACACACACACACACACACACACACACACACACACACACACACACACACACACACACACACACACACACACACACACACACACACAGGGATTGGAACCAGAGAGAATGAGCATATGCAGAGAACTGATGTGAGAAGCAGATAAAAAGTGAGTGTCAGGCGAGGAGACAGACCGACTGAAATAATCACCAGGACAGATAAGCAGACTGTTTGAGATAAGGACAAATGCACATGCAGACAAGTGTGAAATCCACACATTCAGTGAGCGACAGCAAAGGACGAACTTGAAAGGCCATGACTAAGCCAATATCCAAGCCTCATCTGCATACATTTGCATACACGATGGCGCACAAGGCTGTCTGGCAGGTGGAGGCTCACCTTCCCCGGCGTTGTAGGCGAGAATGGAGCGCGTCCTCAGCTGCTTCCCCTCGATGGTTTTACTCGAGCACGTCTGTGAGCAGGTGGACCAGGGCGTCCAATCGCTGAGCACACAGTCCCTGGAGCAAGGCACCTTGCACGGCACGGGCTCTGGAACCGGAGTGGACGAGCAGAGACCTCTGTCCACTTCTTCTCCTGAGGGAAGAGGAGAAAACAACATGATCAGACTTCAGGTGGAGGGAGAGCTCGACAGGCCTCAGAACTCGCTGAAATGGAGGAATTAAGGAGCAAATGTTGAGTTAGATATTCAGAGATTCATTCATCACATAGAAACCATCGTCTGTGATTCCTGGAAGTGACTTTGGGCCTTGGATCGGGGCCTTAGATTTGATGTTTTCCAACCTTGATTTACTTTAATTTCATTTAAACTAACATCCGAGTTTCCTGGAAACGACTCCAGGCCCTGGTGTTACATTTAAAATAAAACAGCCGAAGATGTCAAGAGTGAATGCTGAAAGCCAAAGCAGCCGCTTTCTTCTGAATTGGATTTATCAATATATTACTTCCAGTTTTCCATCTGTGTTTCCAGGTAAATGTTGTTTGTCAGAAAGTACCATCTGTGAGGGAAGTTAATCAACAACTGTGATGCTTTTACAGAAAAGCAAAATAAAGGAATGTTTTTGAAACTAGGGAAAATAAAGTGTCACTTTCTGGGTTTCTATGTTTGCATTTGTATCAGTGAAATTATAACTGGACCTCATATAAACCTTAAATATCATTAAGGCGGGATGCCTGTAGCCTATTGGTTAGTGTGCGCATCCCATGTACGCAGGCTGAAATCCTCAAGAGCGGTCAGCCCCGGGTTCAAATCCGACTTCTCAGTTTCCCTGGTCTCTGACTCTGTCCTCTGCCCTGTCTCTAAAACAAGGCATAAAAATCCCCAAAATACATCTTAAATATTTAAAGGCTGGGGACAAACTGTTCCATTGTAAATGTTGTGGTGAAATATAGACTACAGCACTATATCAAAACCTGCAAATGATGTTCTCACTGTATGAGTCAAATCAGGATAAAGCATGAAGTTTTGTTTGAAAACTCCCTTAGAAGGAACTCAAAATCAAAGAAGTGGTTGCTGTTTTGATCGCGAGCAGAAAGACGGTCGCTACAACTCTAAAAACATTGAACAGACATGCCACAGCTCGAGCATCCTGCTTCCCTATTTTCTGACCTCATCACATAACGTGTTGCCATGGTGCTTTCAGACGCTGAGCCGCTTTGTACAATCAACTGGGGCGCTGACCTGCCCAGGGGTGGCTTGAAGTTTGTATGCTCGCAAAAATGTATTGACCCCTTTTGTCTGCACTAATCACATCCTAGTTTAAGTAACACGAGATAAGGGCAACATAAAGATCTTCTTAACTTCATTCTTCAATGGCATCAAAAATGATGTGTGTCCAAAGTAACACTTTAAAGTATTTTAAAAAGTTACAAACAAACATTTGCACACAGAAAACTATGAGCTGCCTGAAGAGTGGATTTCAGCTTAAGTCCCACCTCTGGCAAGGCAAATAGCCAATCATAGTTAAGGGATTTTGGGCACCCTCTGGACATGGCCCTGAGTCCACTGTGTAAGTATGCTGTCTCATAACAACATTTCGGACATGGCCGACATTCATCCGACTGGAGCAGCTGATTGGGCCGTGAGCGTCCCTCATGTCCTGCAGAACACTGCAGAGCAAACAATGTGCAATGGAGCCGAAACCGGCCCGACTTCAACATCAGTCGTGCTGCTCAAACGAACCAAACGGCCTTGATTCACACAGTGAACACCCGGCTTAATGCAACCAAGACATCCTCATTTGTTTAACCTATTTAAATGAACAACAGTGTTTCCTCTTCAGCACTCTGTTTGTGTTACAAAGCCAGAGCTGCAGCATAAACAAACATCCTTTTTTGTTAGTTTTTCTACTTAAAATGTAAAAGTTTATTATACTAAAAGTTCATGCTGTGTTTTTGTGCATTTTGTCGTCCTCCTCACACCGAAAAACAACACTTAAAGAGAGAACATAAAAAAAGTGCTTAATAATTTAAGGGGAAAAGAAAATGAGCCTGATGAAGCGCTGATTGAAACACGTTGCTTTCCGTTTACAATCGAGGATTGACTGGGTGTTAACCGGGGTAATGAGAATACACTTAAAGCCTCATAGATTCACTGCCTCTTAACTGCACTTCTTCAGTATGGAGACGAATGGAGTAGCTGGGAAAAGGAACAGCTGGGCGTTTTAATTGGTGGCTCGATGTCAAGCCCACAGACCATCTCAGATTGTCGGGACGTGCTTGTTTTTCCTAAGACGTCTGTTTTTCACTGAGACAACTTTGGGAAAGATTTTCTCCACACTGGCGTCAGTACCAACCTGGCATCATTTGACAGAATCCTGAGGCTGCTGCAGAAACCAGAAGGAGGAAATCTACTAACACCAAGTGAGGATTTCATGGATACTTAACGCAAACAAGAGAAGAGAAGAAGTTTTTATCTTTTATTTCTTCTTCTGTTCATTTGACATCCTGTGTTACGAAGAGATCTGGAATCAGGGCACGTTTGCAAACACCATGATGGACTTCCTGTGGATGGAGGTGGAGCTAACCGACATCTCGTTTAAAGATTCATGCGCGAGACATCAGTGTAATTTAATAAATTATAAGTAAAGCCATAGGCACATGTCCACCTGCCGTTATTTCCAGGCAGAAAAAGTTCTCGCTGTTCTTACGTGACGTGTTTGTGAGCTGAGAGGAAAAGCGCTGCACATCCGTCCTGTCCCTATGACAACATCCTCCGTATGACCGACGCTGCTCCGTTAATTTTTACTGCATGTTTTTTTATTTTACATTGTTTTCTAGCCAATCAGACACGGAGCGAGGAGGATGTGGATACAAGACACGATCTGTATGCGGCAAATCTACGGGGGGAAAAAAAAGCGCCCACTGGTGACGCTGCCGATAGCGCCATTCTGAAAAGTTGAACGACTTTCAACTTGAGCGCTCGGAGCGGCCGCACAAAAAAGTCAGAGCACTTGGGGAAAAAAAGACTCCTTTTCTCTGCTGCATACGCTCTCTCATTGAAAACAATAGAAAATTGACGCCGGCGACAGATGGACACGGGGCCTTATAGCCAATCATTTTGAGCCCAGACTTCCTTAATAAACCTTTAAAACATTTAAAAAATAAGCCCAACAAACAGGAGGTAAAAACAGGAATTGGACCCAGTGAAATGGGTTTTGTCCTATGGAATAAGTCAACACGTCACTCATGTGTTTCCCATATTGACTTGACAGTTGATTAGTACCACTTTCATGGATTATTGGCAGAATATTCATCCAGATGCACTCTCGACTCCTGCTATCTCCATAATGAAGTGGCACTGAACATAAAAGGAGCAAACTCACATGGGGTCCCCACATTTTTACACTATGGTTCGATGTTTTATTAATGAGCTTCTTGCATCAGCCATAAGTGGATTATATTAACCCACATACTCGCCTGTGTTGCTTCATGTGCTGCTCTCCAAAGCAGAGAATACCCTCCCCTCCCCTCCCCCTCCTGTTAGTGATGCATACGCCTGGGAAAATGTAAACCTGTCAATGGGCTGAATGGGAATTTCAAGCAGGAGGAGAATTGCCGGAGCTGGCTTGACTTTGCATTAAGATGTCACTTTGACAGATACGCAGTGAAGCAGTGATGACTGAGCAGACACGGCAGGAAAATAAGAAGTGACAAGGGACCCCAGCACTTTTCAGGCTTCTCGGAGAGAAAACATGAATGAACAGAACGCCCACTATGAGAGCTAAACCGCCGCTGCTCAGTGTGCAGGAAAAGGAGCCGCTCTCCGCCTAAGTAAGCAGGCAGTCAGCATGGGGAACATCGATAGCCAGCTTCAATAACATTTGTATCGACCTCCGTTCTGATGTCTGGGCGCTCCGGCTGTGTGGCCTTTTTCTCTTTTATGGCTCGGACACACATCGAGAGAAAATATACAGCTGACGACGCAGTGAAAAACCACTGAGGCGAGAAGCGGAGTGAAAATCCAAACAGAACAAATCAATTTTCATCAGATGAGGGAGGGAAGGTGGTGGTGGGGGAGGATCAATCAGCCGAAGTCAGGTGAGAAAGAACAGTGCAGGGACTTTGCAACGGAGTGCGCGATGGGAAAAACTTCACTGAATACCTGCAGTTGATGTATGAAGTGTGATTTGTGCGAGGCGTTCGGAGGTCTAATAAGTTCTCAATTGGGGGGAAACATGAAGAAAGTTGCTGCAGAGGAGCAGAGACTGAAGATCTACTGAGTACATTTGGAAGGGAATGAGTTTTCTTTTCTAGAGCTGCACCTCCCTCTGACTTTACACTCGGTTTAAAGAAACACAGCATGTAATTTGTCTAAAAATATAACTGAATAAAAATCAATAATGGGTTGTATGTGCATTTCATCCACAACCTGAAGGCAGAAGAACGTCTGCAACACCTCCTCTAATATTAAAGATTTACAGTAATAAAATGTAGCAGTAAAAAATCAGGAGCAGCAAAAGGGCACGAGATAGTCCAGGACCCAGGACCGCGGAGGATTGATTTGATTTAGTGCGAGGAAGGTTTAATTGTGCGTGCAGAGAGGAAGACTGTAATGAGAGAGACAGCGGGAGAGAGGAGAGAGAGGTGGCCACGCTGAATCAAGCAAGCGTTAAAGTAGAAGTAGAACGGTAGGAGGGGAGGGGAGGAAGGAGCACAGGAGGGAGGGGAGTCTGGGGAGAACTCAGCGCACGCACGCACGCACGCACGCACGCACGCACGCACGCACACACACACACACACACACACACACACACACACACACACACCGAGCTCCACAGGGAGAGTTGGAGGGTCAGTGAAGAGGTGACTTTGAAGGACGTTGGATTTCTGTCAAACGAGGTCAAAGCTGCTCGATTTCACTGCAACTGAAGCGTCGTCAAAACCAATAAATTTTGTGGAAAAAAGCTTCATAAGTTCAATCATCAATGCTGTCTCTGCAGGAAAGAGTTCAGCCTCTGAGTCCTCTGCATGTCATGAGAAGTGTTGATCAACTTCACACTTGGCAGGTGAATCAGTGAAAAAAAAAAAAGTGGATATTTGGATAGCGGGAAAGAGATGTCCGTTGTCTGTAATGTAAAAACAGGATCCTATGGACATGCACCAAAGGAGAGATGTCAGAGTGAGGGAGCTGCCCACAGCTGGTGGTGGGGGGGACCAACTTCCAGATTTGATCCGCACTGGGACTTGAACTGGCAACCCACCAGTTCCCAATCTAAGTCCCTAAGGACTGAGCTACTGCTGCACCCAAACAAACCAGCAATTTGAGATGCCAGTATGGATGCTTAATCTGCATTCATACTCCTGTTTGTAGAGATTACTCCAGATCATAACCAATAGCATCCATGACTGCAGCGCCACATGTAAGGTCAATGCATCGCCTCTCTTACCGTTACTGTTGACACACATGACCTGTGCGAGCTGAGACCCGGGGCCGCACGGCTTCTCCTCGTCTGGGATACACTGATCCAAACCGACCAGCTGCCAATCGTGACAACTGGGCTCATCGCACGGCACCGCCTCCACCAGGTGGGGGCAGTTCTCGGGCCCTCCTGTTGGCTCGTTGGTGATTCGTCGTCTTCTCAGTTTGAAACCTGCAGAACAGAGAGTGTATTCAAAAACCAAAACGGAACTAAGCTCAGCCGCCATCATGTCTTCGTACGTTCTTATTGATTCTGTGACGGCACAGTATTGGTGTATATGCACGTTGGGTTTAGGTGCTGTGGAAGCTTCCTATACACACACAATCAGACATGCACACACACGCAGCACTGCGCTCCCCCGCTGGTACAGCTGATCCTGCCTCGCCTCTGCAGCCCCTCTGTTAACATGTCCGAAGATGGTATGGGGGGGGGGATCACTTTGACCACCCATTACGCCTCTGCATCAATTAGATTGAAGGGATGTTAATATCCCGTTTTTTTTTTAAAGATTTATTTTGGGCTTTTCATGTCCCTATCAAGAGACAGGACAGTAGACAGAGTCAGAAAGAAGGACCTGAGTACAGATTCCCTCTCCGATGTTCGACGTCCTTGTTCAGCTTATTACTGTCTGAAGGCCGAGCGGCAGAGACAGCTCATTAATACTGACTGAAACACTTCACACTGTCCCCACATGGAGCAGAAATCTAACTCTTACTGCACATCCTCCTGCCGTATGAAGTCTGTTGTTTAATACAGAATAATGTACACGTGAAGTCATGCAGAAATCAGCCTGTGTCATATTTAATGAGCTTCAGTGAACTCAGCGTGGCTCTCTTGATTGCTCTATAAAGAAGAATTAACTGTTGAATTCTGCACATTTTGACTTCAGAGCTCCACCCGCTGCTTCCTTTGGTACATTTGACCCCTGACGATGGAATAATAATAACGTAGCTGCAGCATCTCCAGCTCTCGTAGTAACTGATGTATTTTTAAAACGCTGTCCTGCTACTACTGGAGCAGGTCATCATTAACTATTGAGCGCACTGCTCTGAAGCTTCGCTGTGCATTTACAGCTGGTGTAAAAATGATACTAATATCATGTTAAACTTTAATTAAGATTGTTCATAAATATTCATGCGGTTCAGTAGTTCTGTAATCTTTAAAGAGTTATTTTATTGAGTGTTGGAGGAGAGGAAACATTTAGTGCACTGTAAAAACTGAAGCACTAAATAACCTCTTGATTATGTTAATGACAGGGTTTCAGTTTATCTCCACGTTTACTTTAATATTTTAATTATCAGTCAGGCTGTGGAAACATGAATGAAGGAAAAGTTATAAGTGTTTCCTCACAGGATAAACCTGTCTGTGTTTACCTCAGCACCAGGTGGCTGAATGACTGAATGTAAAATGAAAAAGATCTTTATGATACAATTAATGCAAAGGGGGGGAAGATAAACAGTTTAATGCAGACAACCATCAAACATATTTATGTGGCTGCAACTAAAAGGACACATAAAGTTGGCTTACATGACGTCAATCTAATGTCTGCCTTTTTCTTATCTTATAGCTGTAACTGCTACACTGTGCATGGAGTGCAGAACCATCTCAAAATGATCCTTCAGTGTTTGTCTTTGAAAAGGTTTTACACGCTACATTTCCTGCAGAGGGCTCCTCCTTTCTGAAACTAAAGAAGGGTACAATCACTTCTATCTGAACCAGTTCTCTTGCCCGCTTCCATCGCTGCAACACCTGTTGGTTTGACCTGATAACTGCTCTCATATCTGGCAAACCGAGGGGCGTCCAAAACATATCAGTGTCACAATCGACCTGAAGTGATTGAAAATGTTTTCCCTCTGGAAGATCACCAAAAACTGGTACTCGTACCTTTCTTTGCGGCCTGGTCATCACAGTTCTCGAAGGTGCAGGGTCCCCATGCCCCCCACGGTGACACCACACAGTCGATGGGACAGGGTATTTGGCACAGCTGAGACCTGTTGGGGATGGGACCCTCGCACAGTTTGTTCTCCACTGGGCGGGACGCTGCGGGGATGAGAAGAAAGGAATCCAAAATGAGCAGCAGATAAACGGACCTGCTGCACTTTGATGCTATTCTGGTTTTTTCTTGATGTGAGGAATGTTGTATCATTGTTGCAATCAACAGGAACGAGGGACACACAAATGCTTGTTTACTTTTATTCCTGGTGTTAGAGTCCCAGTAGAGAGCAGATGAGAACAACAGTGTTAAAAAAAACAAAACAAGCCTGTGAAGCAGACACTATTATCCCTTTGTTTTGTTTATCGGCTCCCTGTTAGCATGTCAGGATGATGAATTAGCAATGATTATCTCAAGGAGTGCCTTGCTAGCAACATAAAACACAGTGGAGTCCTGCCCACCGGCGCTCAGGAGATGAGACGACGCAACAACACAACAGTGAAGGTTTAAGAGAACAGAGACAATATCTTGGCTCATGTTTATTCCATGAGGTGTAATTTCTTCCCCTGGTCCTGCCATGTTGGATTTAAGGAAATATGATGCAACAGGTAAATGTTTGCCTGTCTGAACTCCCAGTGAGGAGCTTTGAGGAAATAAAAAAGGAAGACGTTATTGCCATGCAACGCTCAGCTCTGTGCAGAACACATCTCTACATGTCTGCATAACCGTATCAAGGAAAATACTCTAATTTGTAGAGAATCATGAGGCCACACGGGTTCTGCATTTATGTATGTAGATAAGGTATGCATGTTGGTGTGAGTGTTGTTTCACTGCTATCTTTCAGGCAAGGAGCAACAAGCTGCATGAAAACATTAATGCTCATTATTTAAAGGTCAAATATTATCCTCCTTCTCAACAAGTTTATATACAATTCTACAATTCATTTATCAGACGCTTTTTTTCCAAAGCGACGAACATCAGAGAGTAAGAACAACACTAGCAAGGATCTAGAGAGGAGGAGACAACGTCAGGAAGTGCAAACGAACAGCTTTAAGTCTGATTGGACTCACAGGTGCTGACAGGAAGTGACCAGAGCCAGAGCACAACATGGACGGCTGTTCTTGAGAGTTCTTATCAGCATCAAAATCGTCCTAAAATCATCTCTATCAGTGGGTAGGTATTCATGAAAGAGCTGGGTCTTTAGCTTTTTCTTAAAAGTGCAGAGGGACTCTGCAGATTGAATGGAGTTTTTGGAAGTTCGTTCCACCACCGAGGAGCAACAGAGGAGAAGAGTCTAGTTAGAGTCTCAGAGCTCCCCAAAACATGTGTGTGAAGTTTCTTGTTCTGAATCCACTCTGATCCTGTATTTGATCATGCCTATAAACCCCTCTATTTCAGCCCTGCTCAGAACAGGCTGTTTCTGTGTCTGTACCTTTAAATGTAAATGAGCTGTGTCTGACCACGCCCCCTCTCTGGAAAGGCTATTGGGCTTTGGCCATGTCCTATTGTTTACGGTAAGAAGGCAGACTCAGAGGGCAGAACAAACACCTAGCTGTGGGAGTGTCACCCACCTGGGGGAGGGGTTACTGCCCTTTGTGATGTCATGAAGGGAAAATCTCCAAACGGCCTGTTTGAGCACACATTTTCTGAAGTGGAGCAGGCTGAAGACAGAGAGGAAGGACTTTTCTCATCATTGGGGGGTTTGTAGACAGACTAGAGACACAGAAACATGGTGAAGTGGGTATTTTGAATAATATGTGACCCATAAAATGAGACGTTGCATCACAATCAATGCATTTAAGGAGGAACTGCAGATTCTCTCTTTCCCTCTAACTACAGAGCATATACGGGCATTGGGTATAAAGCCAGTCTAGGCTGTCCCCATGGTGCTCGTATATTGATTTAAAAAAAAAAGGAAAATGATAATATGGTCATTAAATATACTTATGGGGCCTCCCAGGTGTAGTCTATGTGAGGGAAAAACTGTAATGAACGAAGCTGTTTGTGTTCATGTTGTGTTGTGTAATATCAGGTACATTTTCAGAAACATCTCCATCTCTCGGGGGTTGGCGTCTCATGTCGTTTATGTCTTCATCAATCAGCTCATGACAACTCGGTGCTCCATCAGCAGCTGTCAGTGTGAGCAGACTTTGTGGAAAACTGAACTGCACCATCTGTTGTCGTTTTCTGTTTTCCGATATTACAACATTTTCCCCCCCCCTCAAATCAAGGGAATCAACGATTTGTTCAAACTGATGCTCGGTTTTAAGACATGAGCCGTGGTGTGAAAGTTCAAAAGCTAACAGAATTCTTCTCTACAAAAACGCGAGGACGGATTGATTTCAACTTTCACAAGTATCGAATGAGGAACTTCAAATGCAGGTATTTAGTGATTCACAACAGAAGTCTCTTCACATGTTCGACCCGAGGCACTTTACTTCCTGTATTCCAACGGTTCCTACAAGACATCAGAGAGCTTAAAGTCTCAAATAGTCTGGAGAGCTGAATCATAATTCCCTTACAACTGTACAGGGGAAGGCAAGTGGGGCTTTTGAAATGCAAAATGGTTAATTCCTCTTACAAATACACCGAGAGTCAAATACTCCGTTTGCTGAGCCGCTGTTAATCCTCATCTTATTGGGGAACTACACAGACTTCAATCTTTCAACATCAATCCATTTGGGAATACAAGACTGAGGACCAACAGAGAGTTTTGGTCTCCGTGCGATACAGGAAAAAAGAAGGCTGTCTTAGTCCGTTTTAAAGTGTGCTCTCCCATGAGCTCCTTTTTCTCATTGTGCTGAACTGACAACGGAGCGGGAGAAATCCCTCATACGAGTGTGGCTTACTGTCTGCAGCGGTGGGAAACTTCTCATGTCTCACTATCCTTATTCTCTTTGTAAAGACATAAAGTTTTCTTTCAGACCCTTCAAAGCTTCAAGTCCTCTGCCTGGATTTTTAAGGAAGAATACAGAACTTTGTTGTAATACTACTTGTCCTTCTGTTGGATTTGGCTGCAAGGCTCAACAGTGTGGATAAAGAGGAACAGTGTGTGCATGGTGTGTATACCAACCTTTTATTATCTGAGGCATCATTATTGACTTTATTGAAATCAATATTGAAATTATTAGTAGTATTAGATTGTGTTGGGAGAGGAGAGGAGAGGAGAGGAGAGGAGAGGGGGAAAGGGAGTAAGGAAGAGGTAAAGTTAGAGGTGGAACAGAGTAGAGGGGATGAGAGAAGAAGAAAGGAGGACATGGTCGCTGATAAATGAGGGGAAAGTAGAGGAGAGTAGAGGAAAGGAGAGGAGAGGGACGAGAGGAGAGGTACGAGAGGAGAGAAGAGATGAGGAGAGGAGGGAAGAGGTAGAGTTAGAGGAGGGGGAAGGGAGAAGAAGAATGTATGATTGGTGAAAAGGAGGGTAGGACTGAGTAGAGTAGAGGAGAGGAGAGGAGAGGAGAGGAGAGGAGAGGAGAGGAGAGGGGGAAAGGGAGTAAGGAAGAGGTAAAGTTAGAGGTGGAACAGAGTAGAGGGGATGGGAGAAGAAGAAAGGAGGACATGGTCGCTGATAAATGAGAGGAAAGTAGAGTAGAGGAGAGTAGAGGAGAGGAGAGGAGAGGAGAGGAGAGGAGAGGAGAGGAGAGGAGAGGAGATGAGGAGAGGAGGGAAGAGGTAGAGTGAGGGTATAGGGGGTAAAAAAGGAGACCCGGTTGGCGAAGCAAAGGGGGCGTCTGGGGCTTCGTTATCAGCAAGACTAAAATGACCTACCTGTGATCTGGAAGGTGACGGAGAGGAGAGGGGGGACACTAGGCTTCTGCTGTCTTTGGGTCTGACCCGCTGCAATTACAGGGGGGGAAGATAGCGCTATTAGCTACGCACACAGCGGGGACACAGAGGCACTATCAAACAAACACAGGGTGATGGGAAACAGCACACCAGAGACACTCTGAAGCTAATGCAGCACTGAGAGCAGGAAGAGGCCACAGAGAACCACAATTACACGCCTTATCAACATCTGTTTTGGATTCTCTGTGGCAGATAAGTCTCCTTTTTGGCTCAATATCTTGAAATGGCTGGATCAGAGCCGTGGGTAACAATCAGACTGGACTTTTGGTGACCATGTGATCTTGTGGTTGGACATTTCAGTGTTAGGGATCAAAAGAAAATGTGATTACAGACCTTTTTGAAATCCGAACAGCAGACTTAACGGAGCCCTTTGGCATCACTGAACTTGTTGCCGTTAATAGCAGCTAATTAACTCGGCTGAGTGCAAGTGTCAGACCAGATTGTGCTCAGCCGTTTTTAGGCTTTCCAGGCATTTAAAGGAGTAGTTCAACATTTAAAGCAACTTTATGTAAATAGTCAATCTTCAAATAGTAGATTCAAAGTCGATCTAACGGTACAATGACTTTCAACAGAGAGAATTACATCCATACAATTTCCACAGAGAGCCCCGGTCGCACAGCAGCCTTCAGTTAAAAAGACACCAGTTAGCCAGCCTCGTTACTGTTTAATACCAAGGCTGAGGCTGAAAGACTGAAGAGAACGGTGACGGATGAAGCTAAGAAGAGAACAAGAGAGAGTGACCGAGCGAGAAGCCGGACTAGAGGAAATATTGGACTCCTTTGTCTCTCCTTTCTCTGTGAAGCTCACATCCAATCATGCACACTTTCTCCTGGCTGTGAACCTGTGAAGCAGTACTCCTAAACAGAGTACTCTTTATTCTCAGCGGCTCATTTTTTTGTTGCATTAAATAACTTATTAAAACAAAGACATTAAGATAAATTAACACATAAAATCAGCATGATACTAAACAACTATAACGACAGAATCTGGGGTTTAACAATGATTTATCTGATGAGTATTTTTCACTTTATGGTTGATCCATGTCCCATCTGGTAACATGGAGGAGGCAGGGTTTATGGCCTATACTGCAGCCAGTCAGCAGGGGGGCACTCTAAATAGTTTTTCCTTCACTCTCAGGTGGCTGTTTTTCCGTCCGTCTTAATATACAGACTTTATCAGTGGTTCTCAACTGTTGGGTCGGGACCCAGAGGTGGGTCGCGGAGCCATTTTCAGTGGGCCGTGAATGTTTGTCTAGAAAAAAAACTTGTGTAAAATAGTCTGTGAAGCTCTTTTTAAACATGTTTCAGTTGTTCAGTTTCTTAACAACCATGAACCATTCTACTTATGCTAAGCTAGGCTAACAATGCTCTCACTCTTGCTCTTTACAGACACAAGACTGCGATTGATTTCTGAGCTCTCACAGCAAAACGAGTTTACTTTACAACTTTTTTGTTTAGTACTAAGTACTAAGACTTTTTTCTGAACCGTCGTCTGTCTCTTCAGCATCTCTCCAAGTGACTATGAATACGGGTGACACATTCAGTCAAAAGGCATCGTTCAGACTAACACAGGCAGCATGAGCTAAAAGAGTTCAAGGTTCTCCTGATAGTCTCAGTGTCAATGCACCTCTTTAGTACCTTTAAGTCAATTGTCTCCTCAAGTTGTAGGAGAGGTGACCAAAATGTCAACCCCCACCAGGCTGTGAGAGGTGCTTAGGGGATCTGCATGCTGCAGCTTCTGAGTGGAGCCGAACCTACAGCTACCCGGCTTTAGCTGAGAAAGTGCCGGATGATGTTACTTAGGCAATGATACTGATCTGGGGTCAGTTCGGAGCTTCTTCCGCCGGAGAGATTAAGGTTCAGATTTAGGAGGTAGTAAGCTGATTCCAGATCTTGGCCTGAGGGTGTCGTCCGCCCTTTTGCATGGTGATATTTATGCATGAGAGAGAGAGAGAGAGCGCGCTGGCTGCAGCAAACTTCACTGAACCACTTTTCTGCCTCTACATCTCAGTGGTATGCTGGGAGATTACCCCCCAGCGGAGGGGAAAGAAATCCTGCGCCTAGAAGATAAGAACTATGTGCAAGCGTCTGTGTGTTTGTGCAACACTTACACACACAGGTCATGCACAGGCAACACCACTCTCAACAACATGTTTGCACACATGAATCTTTAACTGCATTTTAAAAGAGGCTTTAGACGCCAACATGTGTGATGGCTCCAGTTTGATTGCAGCCAGATATGATGTGCTGGAAGGGAGGAGGAAGGTGTGCATTAAACATGCTTTCTTATATCAGACAATGCGTTTTGTCTAAACTGTGTCTGTCGATGTATTTCATCTTGGCTACTCGGCTCATTATTCTTTAATTAGTGCAGAAACAGAGACAACGGAAGATCAATTCAACTCTGAGAAACATTTCTTAAGCAAAGCGAACCCACGGCCAGCTTTTCCTCTTTGAGTGATTCATCCAGAATTCATTCAGCATCACAGAAAGTTTAAGATTATCATCAGAGCCTTGAAGTTAGATTTGAAATAAAGATTTTTTTGGTTGGTGATGATAATGTGTGGGCCTTATGAGATAGGAGCTCATAAGACTACATTAACGTTTGTGTTTATTGTACAGGTGGCTAAATGGTATTTCAATCATCTGGAGTATCCAAACCTGGGGAAACACCGAACGATCTAAGGCTGATTCTGAGTCGCACATTTGATTTTGATGTGGGGCTGAATTTCAGCTCATTTGCACGTCGTTTGCCGTGCAGTGTACATACTGTACTGTAGGGGCAAGATGGCTGATCACGGCTCGATCTGATGATCCTAACAGGGAGGAGGATTTTCTGGTCTGACTGCACACACTTGCACAGTGAGAGCAGAGCCACAAGCCTGATGGACCTGTCTGTCTACAGAGTCGTTATAGGCCCATGTTCAACATCAGTGCATCCCTACTTCCTGTTTTACTGCAAAGCACACCGAGTTTAGGCATCTGAAAATGACTAATACATACTTAACAAAATAGCCTTTAATTAGTAATTAAGTCTGACTTTAAGCCTGTTCCCAGCAGCTTATATTTCCATTATCCTCCACCTCACTGTAAGCACCAGCTGAATGTTCATCCTGCACTGTGAGCTCTAAGTTAGCGTGAGTGGAGCATCCTCACCTCCTCGTAGCCTTTTTAACCTTCTCCCCCACGCGATCAGGAGCGTGGGTCTCCACGAGCTTAGCCTTCACCCCAAAGTCTTTAACACCCTCTTTAAGAGGGCAGCTTTGACTCTGAGCTGGCCTGACAAGTGTCACCTTTGCACTTGTGAACACAAGTCACGGCTTGGCACACCAGCAGACAAATCCCTGTTTTAAATGACTCCTGAGTCTGTCTTAAAGAAGAACACTGCAGACGGCAACAGGCTGTGAAAATGTTGGAAAAGACGCTGACAGTGTAGCCTCAGTGGGGTATTTGTAAAGAAAAGACAATAAAAGCTGCTACAGTGTTTACTAATGCAAATTTAATATTGAATATTGTCGCTAAAAGTGGACATGAGTTAAGTCAACACGAGGGTTTATTTATATTTCAAGCATTTGATATGTAATTATCTGCGACACTCCACCTGGGGATTGCTCCTCTCATGCAGCATGTGGGGGGGGAGCGGAGGATGTAAGTTGTCATGTAAGCGTGCTTGATCAAATTTATTGGAGTTACACTTGAGAGTTCAGCTGATTTGTTTCAGGCTGCGCTGAGTGCAGTTGTAGGATTTTGATGTTCGCAGCTGTGGGTGTTGTTGTGACTTTGTTTACAGCGTTGATTGAGGACGGTCGAGAAAGCCCCCTGAGAGCCAAACAATTAAAATGTGTAAACGACAGAAAAGGGGATTTCGTTGGCAAACTAATAATCTAACAATTAGAGAGGATGGTGGGTTATAAGGCGAGAGCAGCAGAGGAAAGAGGGAATTCAATTTAAACAGCTGCCTATGAGATATTTTGAGAGTTATGCCAACCTGAGGAGCAGCATTTTCAAGCAAGGAATCTGACCCTGTGTCCCTCTATACATGATGTTTTCTGATTTAAAGATCGACTTTCCTTAAGAACAATTCACAACCTTATGTATAAAATCTTTAGCCTGCAGCAACAAGCAGCTGCTGCCTGATGCTGCCTCCTCAAACATAAATAAAACATGTGAGTTAAAATATATTCAATAAGGCCCTGAAAATCTGCCTCTTACCATGAGCGATATGTAGAAATACTTTAGATCCAAAGCCAAGTTTTCAGGGGCTTTAGTGCCGTGCTCGGGGTCCATATGGTGCAGATTAATGCTCGCTGTAAATGTGTGTTCAAGGCATATTTTTTTTTATGCAGTGTGATTGCTTATTAAGTCAACGGAAAGTAGCGAGTGGGCGAGGAACAGATGCTAATTTGCTCCGGAGGAAGCGAATTGAGGTGTAGATGTGTTCTTCCTCACCTCGATTTGAAGTTGAACATGAAGACAAATATTGAGCTGTTTTGGTTGATTAATCTGAGACATTGTGATAATAAGGACGAACGTAGAAACCGTCAGAGGCTCGTTTTGTGATGAGACACTCTGGGCCTGCGGATCACTAAGAAAAGACTGCCGCGGCTAATAGCTCCAAAAATTGCACATCGTTTGCTCCCTCTGTTTGCTTTGTCTGAAGGTCTAATTCAGAAAGCATACAGCGCTGATGATGATCAGACGCACACACGGCCAAAAAAAAAGGTTGTTCTGTTCCGTGCAGCTTGCTCTAGTTTTGCGTCTGAATGTGGAGAAAAGCCGTCGTCATCTTTACTCTGAGATGAGCTCTCATGCAGACGGAGCACATAAAGTCCACATAAAGATGATGAGCTAGAGGAGGAAGGGGTTCACTTCTTCAACTTAATTTTGTCCTCTTCACAGCGGCTGTGGGTTTGAATCCAATCTTTACCTTTTATCATGTGTTTTGACCCTTTAAGAAATCGACAACCCTTCTTTTTTTAAGATTTATTTTGGGGCTTTTTGCGCCTCTATAGTAGAGATAGGAGAGTGGATAGAGTTGGAAATCAGGAGAGAGAGAGAGAGAGAGAGAGAGAGAGAGAGTGGGGAACGACAGGTGGGATATGAACCAGGACTACAGCCTCCGTACATGAGGTGCAGAAACAAACCACTACCCCACCGGCACCCCAAAAGTGGACTTTTTTTTTAGAAGAAGAAGATGATAAGGGAAATGTTTGATTTAGGAATTGATCAATCTGACTTTTTCTCTCCTTATCATAAATCACCAGAGCTCCCTTCTTGTCCTATTTATAACAGCACGCCTCACTGATTAGACGCCGTAGGATCATCTATCTGAGGTATCAGGAGCGCACTAAAACTGGCCCGGCCTGGATAAATTAATTTTATAATGACATTTTCCTTAATGCGTTTTAACAGCCGATTCTGGTTCTACATGAAAAGTTAATGATCGGTGCTTGTTGCATCGCCCGCTCTATTCTAATAAGGAAACGTTTAAAGGTCTGACATCACCACAGGTTTATAGGTTCAAACTAGAGGAGACTCGTTAGATCCAGGTTTTTATCTTTAAGAAATGAAACAGATCTCATCCAAAGGGTTTGCAGTTTTATGTTCGTCATCACAATGTGAGAAAACGGGGAAATAAACCAGGAACATATGAAGGGTTAAATATCACACAGCATCAGGTGTAATATTTAGTTACTTTTTTCTTACCATTTTTATCTTTTTCTCTGAGGTCTTTGAGGTATTTGAGAAGCTCGGCGTTGGCCTGGACGCAGTACACTTCCCTGGTCTGCAGGCCTCCTCCACAGAGCCCCGTCAGGTTGCCACGACGACGGTCCTGTTGGCTTAACAAAGGGTCGACCCGGCAGTCGCTCCACTCTGTGGTTCTCCAGGTGTAACTACAGAGAAAAAAAGAGCATATGGAGACGAGGGAGGCAGAGGTCTGTGTGGGTCTAATGTGTCAAAGCACATTTACAACACTAAAGACCTTCAACACAAAAAGAAGCGTTGCATAGCAACACACATTTTAGCTTTCTGTTTTATTGCAAACGTTAGAAACAGTGTGCTATGTGTACATTGATGTGAAGAGTTCAGTTTAAGGAGGGACGGCGCCAGGATTTCTTTTCTCCCGGTGCTGAGAGGGAGATGACTAAAATGTTGGTGTTCTATTTTTACAGTTTATTTAAAAATAAATAAAAACAACCAAATTACGTGAGCGAGACAGATTTATGATGGGGCTATAGCGCCCCCCTAGCCCCGGTGTAGCGCCAAGCTTGAATTTAAATCTGACCACAAGTTTAAGCTTTTATTTGCGTTGTTGATTTTTGTTTAAAACATACGACAGTCTTCTGCTGTGCGCCAAAAAGACGAAAGAAATAACATTTTAAAAAGCTGTTTGGAAATATACGATAATGGAATTTCACCCAATGCGATGAATCGAGATTAACTCTTTAAATTCAGTGAATAATTATCTGAGAAAGAAAAAAAAAAGTGAAAAAAGTGAAATAATACAAACCCTTTTTCATCAAACTATGTAGTGGAGTAAAACGTAAATCAAAACAGGAAGTGATGATTTGAAAAGTCACTGCAAAGGGCAGAGAGAAAATATATCAAATGGAGAAACTGAGAAACGTCATTGTTTTTGTTAAATTATATAATGAGAGAGAAAAGTCAGCACACTAAATGTCCTTCAAAGCCTTAATTTTTCCGGGTAGAGCAGAGCAACAACGGATGTGTTCCATCCCGAGGCCTCCGTCAGCATTCAGACGATGAAGGACATTTAGTGTGCTGACTTTTCTGACTCATTAATGCCTTTTTGCAGTCGTGTATCTGAACATTTGTTTTGTTACAGTTGAGTCAGTGTGCTTTTTCTGCTGTTTTGGTGAATAAGATAACATTTTGAATTTGATGCCAGAAACATGTTGGGGGACCGGGTCAGATTCATCACTCTGTTGTTTGGAGCATTATGAAACATAAAACGTGACAAAGATGACTGCGAACTATTGAACAGCTGAAATCCTAAATTAAGGGCAGGGTTGGTAATTTCCTCCAGATCCAGATTTTGTTTGAAATTGTCTTTAGGTCCTGACAAGAACTTAATAACTCATGTTCTCTGAAAAAGGGACGAAGAAAATCTGTCATCTGTAGGCGTGTAAAAACTTCAACCAATGTCTGCCACGAGGTACCAATCTGATGAACCAATCACACGCCTCAAATTTTGGCGTATGCTTCTCCAAAAACGATGGAGTTTTTCTCAGTTTCACCTTTTGATGTTTTGTCTTTTAGCTTCTTAATCAAACACGGGGTTTCAATGTATTGGAAGTAATCACATTCTGGGTCTGATTCATTAAAGGATTGCAAAAGCTTTTGAATCTGTGAAACCTGTCCAAATGAGTCAAACAGATACCATCTAATTCACAAAACAGTTGTAGGGTTGTAAAATGCAAAAAGAAATCATCTCTTCACTGCTTGATCAGTCTGAGTGATGAGTACCAGGGATTTCCTTTCAAGAGAGTAGAGTCATTCTTCTTCCTCGAATGTTCGGGGGTTCGATCCCCTCAGCCACATGTCCGCTGTGTCCTCGTGCTGCAAGACACTTGACCCCAGCTCCGGCTGCTCCGTCAGTGGTGTGTGAATGGGATTTATTAATTCTGATGGTCACTTTACACAGCAGCCTCTGACATCAGTGTGTGAATGTGTAGGTGTGACCTGCGAGCGCTTTGAGTAATCAGAAGACGAGAAAAGAAATATACGAGCTCGAGTCCATTTACCATTTACTAGTGTGATGAGTATTTTGGAGACATCTGTTTGGAGGTGATATAGGATGAAACTGGGGGATTAAAGCCATCTGTGAGCCAGAGTTTTGTATCTGTGTGTGTGTGTGTGTGTGTGTGTGTGTGTGTGTGTGTGTGTGTGTGTGTGTTGTGTGTGTGCAGTCTCCTTCCATTTGTGTGTACTTGTGTGTCTGGCACCAGCCCAAGCACTTCTACGGATCTGTCTTCGTATGCTCTCTCTCACACACACACACACACACACACACACACACACACACACACACACACACACACACACACACACACACACACACACACACACACACACACACCTAGGGCCACCCAGGAGAACAAATTAGCTTAGTGATAAGAGTGAAGGGAAGTCAACAGGAAGCTTGTGCAGCCTGAGCCGGGTGAATACCAAACACTTTGATTGCACTGTATTTTTGCCTGAGTTTTAACAGGATACAGACAGAATTCCTGGAGTGAGCTTCGTACCTGTCACACACACACACACACACACACACACACACACACACACACACACACACACACACACAAACAGTACATGGCTATGAGCAATGAGGAGGGTATCATGCCAACCTAACATGTAATTGAATAACAGGGGAAGGTGTTGAATGCTATGCCATGCTGACAAACACATCTACACTTTCACCCCCCGCTGTGTGCTCCCCGCTTCCCTCCCTCCCGTCATCAGGAGGTACTCACCTGGAGCAGGGCGGCACTCCATCACCCTGAGGTTCGCACCACTCCGACTCCTCCAGCGGCGGGCACTCCGCCCCCTCGCCCACGGGGAACTGGAGCACCTGTCGGATCCTGCTGCGATTTCCTCTGGGAGACCTGAGGTCCGCACATGTTTTGGAGCAGGGGCCCCAATCGGTCCAGTCGGTAAACTGGCAGTCTTTGGGGAGGACGCAGGACTGGATGGTCAGCGGCAGGTCCCTCGGTGTGCACAGGCTGAGGCAAAGAAGAAGGTGAGGCTCAGACAGGAGAACAGTTGAAGTGTATTAATTAGCGGAGGAAACCTCTAGCACCCAAAAAAGTACAAATGGAGAATGTGTGATACTTGTTGGAGACATTATGATGATGATGATTTGATATATCTGTTGGCATGCCATGGATATAAAAATAAAATTCACAGACACCCAATATGGAGAAATTTCTTGTTTTTATGCACCAAAAATGGCAAGAAAACTCAGGCACAAATAAATTGGCAACGTTTCGTCACTGAAACGTTTCCAATATGTTGGTGCAATTTAGACTGTGTCACCTCCTCTGCTCTCTGTTTGGTTGTTAACAGACAGTTTGCATGTTAGTTTTGCATCTTAATGAGATGCCAACAGGACTGGAGAAACCTCTGTATTTGCCGACCTGTGAATCTGAATAAACCACCTCTGCTCCGCTCTCTCTCTCTCTCGCGCGCGCGCTCTCTCTCTCTCTCTCTCTCTCTCTCTCTCTCTCTTTCGCTCTCTCTCGTTCAGGCAGCTCAAGCAGGACAGAGGATATGATTTCTTTCAAGCACTGATACTTTCCAAAACTGTCGATCATTAAAAACACAGATATTGCATCATTATAAAACATGCGGTATCAATAAGTATAGACCATTTTGACAACCTTACAGTCAGTGATAGAGTCCAGGGAGTCACTCCTACGGGCCAAGCCACAGTCTTGGACCTAACCTCTCCAATCACAGAAGATTTTAAGCTTTTAAACAGAATTATTGCACAGATGAAATAAACAAGAAACTGCTTATTCCAGCATTGATGTCAAGCTTAGCTAAATAGCTACTGGCTGTAGCATTACAACACACAAATATAGGTGGGTTTATTGAACTTTGCTTGCTTTTAACTCTTGGGGAGAAAGAGAATATTTCCAAATATATCAATATATTTTGAGTTAGAGTTAAAAAGGAGTTCATCCTCCTTCCTGTAGTGTTTTGACAATTTACCAACCCAAACAAACGCTGTCCTCCAGGGAGATAATGTTTGTTTGCAGCAAGTAAAAGTTAGGAAGTCAAATCTCAAACAAGAGAAGCAGAAACTACTGACAGCAAGGAGTCAAAACCAGGGTTAGAAAAAGAGTGGCAGTTTTCTAGACGAGTGATCAGTCAGTCAGTACGTTTACATGGTGTTAAAACGTGTTGACTTGGTCTGACAGTCCTGGACTTTCAAAACACGTTAGTCTGAAGTTTGACAAACTGGACACTGTTTGGAGCTAAAAAGCTACCAGGAGAGTTATGGTTTCACTTATTGCGGGCCCACCACCACAAGTTCTCGCATATCATTTGATCTTCAAACAGTGTTTCAGGCACCAGACTTTCCTCTGAGGACAGTTTGTGTAGAGAGTTATGAACAAATACCACAGGATCTGTACACTTCTCCAATTTTCATATTTCCCTACCAAAACTCCACAGTGCACCTTTAACCTGGTGGATCTTGAAAAAATAAACTATGGAGCAGGGAAAGTTTTGGTTTTTTGGGTGCTCGGGCATTTCAAAAACAAATGTGTCCCCCACCCCCAAAATAAAAACCTAATTTATGTTGTCTTACCCTGGGAATGCTTCACTTTGTTTTGTGTCTGTTTTGTTTATTTATATATTAAATTTTTTTGTATGTATATGTATTGTTTTCTAATGGTTTTTTCTTCATTAACTTTTTAATTTATTAATTCCTCTCTCTTCTTGCTCGTTGTCCTAGTATGCATGAGTGTTAATGAGACTCCTCGGTAGGCTACTGTGAAAACAGGCTTTGTTAAACAAGATACACACTTGTTGACGTAATCCCTGGACGTGGTTTCCTGCCGCTCTGAACGAGACATTGTGAGAATTCTCTGCAAGACTTGGCCAGAACCTGACGTATCAGAGCAAAGCATGGAGCAAAGATGTAGGACAGGCCCACCCAGCAGCTCACTGAAATGTCCCTGCGACTGCAAACAGAGCTGGCCAATCGGAGGAGAGTGGGCACATCAGGGAGGGGAGGGATTTAAAGAGACAGCAGCTGAAATGAAGCGTTTCAGTCCGAGGCTGACATGAGGGATTTTACTGACGCCAGTATCAGATAAATAATGAGATTTATGAGGTACACATCTCACAGCGCTACCCAATAAGTGCCCCAGAGTGACATCATTAAAGGTGAAAGTGAGGATAATAGACCTCCTTTAAAAAGTGAAACAATCTCCAAGTTGAAGTAAGTAATGTGCCTGCTTTGCTCTAGCATCAGACGGTCTCAGTGTGTATTTATGGTAAACAGAGTAATGCAGCGTGCAGCTTACAGACGTCTTTTACTGCCATTTTAAAGTCAACATGTCAGCGCGCCCTAAAGGCACAGTTTATGCTCTTTGAACATATCAGATCAACATATACATGACACTCAAGTTGGTGCAGAGAGTTTCACTTTAAACCTTTTTTGCCCTTGACTGCTGCCACGTTGTGCCACTAGCTCGTCTCATTAGCATACTCAGCATAATCAGTGAATGGGATGGGAGTGGAACAGGAGCTCTGTGGCATGGTTTGTGTTTCCTTGAGTCTCAAGTGTTAAGACTATCAAAACAACCGCTGATCAATCACTAACACACATCTTTTGATCGTCTAAATGGCATTTAGATGTAATGACTAACAAGTCCTTGTTTGGTCCCTACCGAATCATTAGGAGCCGGTTCTAACGAAAGCCGGCTGCTTTCTGCTCCTCAGTCTGGAAGTCTTTCCCCTTGGGGCGTTGCAGCTGACGAGCTATTAGTGCTAATTACAGCTCTGCTTCATTTAGAAACCTCTCATTTAGACGCTGCCACCACACTTCACCTCCAGCAACTTAGAGTTCTGGTATAAGTGAGGAAATGTACGAGCTGAGAGCGAGCAGTGTTTTTTTTTTCCCCCTCTTCCTTTCTTTTAACTCCTGTGTTGTTCAGATAAAAACACCTCTGCAGTCTTTGAAGTGATACTGAAGTGACACTGTGAAAAATCTCCATTTTAACATGTTTGGTGTGCCGGCTCGTTGTGCACGGGAGCAAAACAAAGAGGAATTTAGAGAGTGAGCGTGACGGGGTGATGGCTTGATTTCACCGTCTCAAATGGAAGTTGGTGTGTTTTTAAAAAAAAAGCCCTTAATGCAGCCAATGACCCATTTTCTACTCAACCGGATCCTTTGAATCTTCTACCGTTTGTTGTATGCATGCCCGAGCCTTTTTTTTTTTTGCAGAGATTTCAAAGTTGTGAAAAGAAGTCATTATTTCTTCTTCTCAGTCATCCAGACAGAATGAGGACACAATCATTCTGTATTTAAATAAGTAAGATGATGTCTGGAAAGTGTTCATTTTTTAAGACTGTGGGCTTTACACAGAAACTTGCAACAATGGACTCCAAGGGTTTTTAGACGAAATACAAGCAGGCAGGAAGTCTCCATATTTCAACAGTTGTAAGCTCATTACTCCGGCTGCATCCATCACAACAGTTTGCAGCTGAAATGGTATAAAAAAATAATTCTATGTGGGTCGAATGATTAAAAAAAAGCCTTATTCCAACTTTCAAGCCCTGGAGACTTTTTTTCTTTTAATGACAACAGGCATGCTGCCGCCCACCAGTCGAGTTTCACTTTACATCCACTGAAAGACAGTGAAGCTGGGGCTAGGATAAGGGACATTTCTCGTTTCTCTTTTTAAAATGGTCAAAACGACCTCATTGACAGGACAGACGTTACACTATCACTGGAAGGGGACTCAAACATTTCGTCACTGTGAAGGAAGACTCTGAACTTTAGTGGAAAAACTGCCTGATCTGATCATTTTACACAAATAGAAATGTACAGTAAAACTTCTATGAAACGCCTGGGCTTCTTTTCACTTCGGTCTCTGAAATGACCCTTCCTTTTTTTGGGATGAGGCCTCTATACCAGACCGGTCTTTCATTTTTTTTTTTTTTTTTTTACCAAACTTGTGCCTTGTGACAGTTAAGAGGATTAATGTGACAACATTGAAGGTAAGCTAATTTTGGTTTTAGAAATATTTGTTTTTCTTCGGTCAATAAATAATCCTATATATCCTAATAAAAGATACGATAAGGGAAATTTGAGATGATAAAATCAAAATGGTACACAACCATATTCCCCACAGATATCTAATCCATCATACTTCAGTACAGTTGGATGTTTGCCAACTTAAAAAATCTTATGCAATGCAATGATGTAATTCTGATGCATTGCACGAGTGACACAGCCAAAATTCTTAGAGCTCATGTTTCCAGCCTCATCAGTGGGACAGGAGCAGGAGACTGAATTATCCAGCCTCTTTGGGAAGCATGCAGGAGTATGGAGGCTCAATGACAGATGTTCATCAAACAAAATGAGAAATGAAGGGAGCACTACGAGCAGCGAGCGTCTGGCTGGGATGTGACTGGGTTATCTCTTCAATAGGAAGTTTGTTCCACTTTTCCAAAAGTGGCAAAAACAACTATAAATATTTCAGGAGAAGAAATAAACAAGTCAAGGATTAATATTTATGCTCCTAAGGGCGTGTGAGTTGTTTTCACGGTTCCTTTGAAATATTTGATCCCAGTCACTGCAGCGAGCTGAGCGCCAACAAAGCAGTAATGAACAGATTTAGTACATAATGGATCCCATCCATGAATACTCTGGCATGTGGCACACATATGTGTGCTGTGATTGGAGGCATGCTCCTCTCACATGTCTCAGATTCTTTCCTGGAGATCAGAGACCAAACTTTCTCATCTTGGGTTAGTGTCAGTTAGAGAAATATGCAAAGAGACAGATCGTTAGATGAATCGCTGATTATCTTTCTGTCATGTGAGATCAGTATCAAAGTGTAATTTTCTCTTCTTCTGTTTCCTCGTTGCTGCTTGATGAGGTTGTTGGAAGTTTCATGAAGGTCTTGTATGGAAGGACAGAGATAGCTGATGTCATGCTTCTTATTGGTTTATTTATTTTTATTTTACTGTTCTGTAACGTTTACAGACTAACTCGTCTGTCATTTGTACAATTGGAAACTTTGCACTTCATGCCCTTTTACCCATGTACCATGCATTTCCCACTGTATGTTTAATGTATTATCTTTGTTTTATTAAGAACATGTGACTTTCCCTGCAACCAAATTTACCTACAGTGGCAAACAAAGTAAACGGAACCTGAATCTGATCACTAGTCTTGTAGTACTTGATCTGTCTTGGTCTTGAGACCACTTTTTGAAGGTCTCTGCCTCGTCTCGAGACGGAAAGCATTTTTACTCTCAGTCTTATCTCGGTCTCAGACTCGGTGAACTCCGGATTTTAAATCAAGACCGGTTGTGACCACCAATGACACCACTCCATTTCTGCAAGAAGAAAAACGCCTCTTTATAGAAGAATAACTTCAATTCAGTCAATAATTCGATTTTTATCCCCCGGTTAAAGCAGCAACCTTCCTGGTGTTATGGTCTAAGTGAGTGAAACACCAATCGCACAAAAGATGATGATTTTTCAGAGATATTTATGGTCTTGGTCTTGTCTCGGTTGCCCTGCCTTGGTTTTGGTCTTGTCTCTGTCTCGATCCCTACATGTCTTGGTTTTTTCTCGGTCGTGGTTAGTGTGGACTTTACTCCAACACATTTTGGACCGCTGCTTTGGTTTAAGTTCGTCAGCCCTCAGGGGCCATCTTCTGGTCTGGGGCCCAATACAGTTGCCTGCCTTGCCTGTTGATAAGCAGGGCTTGTAAAACCTTTCTATCTCCACGTATCATCAGAATGGGAACATAGAAATCTTCTTAGCTTCATTCTTTAAGAACACACAAAAGACCTTCCGATTACTATGAGCTTGGCAAATTTATCATTTTACTGCTGACATTTTGCATGACACTTTGTTTGTACTCTTTCAATAATCAGGCCATTTTTTGTATGTTTCTGTTGAGAGCTTTTGAGTAAGTGAGTTTCAGTGTATCCAAGGAGAGGGATGGAAAATGGTTATGGCTGCGACTGAACTAGTGTGTCATAAATTCGGCTGCTTTGCTGCTTCTCTGGAAGTTGACATCAAATACACTGTGGTGGTTGTGCCTCATCGCTCTGACAGCTCGACAGTGACAAAGACACAGCAAGATGAACATCCTCCCCGGAGTGTCACCTCCTGACAGGGCGAGGAAAAACTTCCAGGAGGACAAATGTGGCAGCGTGTTAAGCTTTTTAAAATGCACAGCCCAAATCAGAACCCCTTATCGTCATGGACGACATATTGGGAGCTGTCAATTCACACAAATACAGACATCAATGTTTCTCTGAAAAGGACCAGTAATGTGAAGTATGGTTCACTTAATAAAATTGGTTCACTTAATAAAATTAAAATTAGGCAACATATTTTAATTAAGCTACGATCCTGACGCATCTTTCACAGTTGGCAAGAAAATGAAAGGGATATGAAATAGTGAAGAGGGAAGGACTTCACATTGTCATAAAAATATTGTTACTCACTTGCGAACCACAGCGCTCCCGTTCCTGTGTATGCAGATCACCTCCCTGGTCTGGTATCCCACCTGGATGTCCCAGAAGGGACTCTCCTGCCGGTTGAGGCGATTCCTGGTCCGTTTCTTCTGGATAAGCTCTCTGGTTTCTGGGTCTTTGACTCCCGTTCTCTCCCTGAGCCCCTGGCCTTTGCCTCTCCTGCGCTTAACTTGGCGTTCTGTCCGAGTCTGTGGGAGAGCACAAGGGTCCCACGGTCCAACCCTGAGACTGTACATGCCCTCCGGACCTGTACAAGGCCCCAGTTTACAAGACTGGAACTCAGTGAGGTTTGGACAAACTAAACCTCCGAATAGTGGAGGAACAAGGACGCTCCGGACCCTGTTCCTGAGGCCTGTTCCGCACGTTTTTGAGCAGGAGGTCCATGGTGAATACTCGGACACCACACAATCCTGAGGGCACGGGATCAAACATGCCTGCTCCAGGCGAGGCTTGGGCTCAAAGTACTCGCAGATGGCATCCTCTGCTGGAGACCCATCTGAGTTGAGCACGCAGCCCACCTCCCGGGTCTGAATGCCCTCTTCGCCTCCGCTGCATGTGAAAGGCCGTAGGGCACCAAAGGTCCTTCCTGAAACTGGCATACACTCGTTCCAAGCACCCAGTTTCCAGTCATAAAGGTCCTTGTGCCAGTCGCACACACGGAAACAGTTCCTCTGGTTGGAGGGACGCTGGCCCTGGTCACAGTTGGTGTGAAGTGTCGTCCAGCCGTCCACATGGGCACACCAGACTGCCCGGCTTTGGCTGCCACCTGGGCCACAGTCACTGCCCATGCACCGTCCCCATGGACCTGCAATGGATGAACATGCACAAAATTACAATATGACAAAACATACTGTACCTTTAAGCTTTAGATGCTAGACAGTGTGGTGTAATATGTTTGTGTTCTTATCTGATCATAAATCTGATTTAATAAATTAAGGTGTAAGTTAAAGACGAAGTATTATCCCCATTTCCCACCTTTTCAAACAGTCCCCTGTGGTCTAAATGAAACATCTGTGCTGTGCTTTGGTCAAAATATAACATGAATCAAGCACCAGAGGAGGTTTGTGACCCTGTATAAACCAGCTCTCTCAGAACGCTCCGTTTTGGTGTGTGTGTCTCTTTAAATACAATGAGCCACCCCTTAGTTTTCCTGATAGACATCACTCCTCTGTAGCGAGAATAAAAATGACGGACCTGAGCAAAAGTTTTGTTCTAGGCTTGGGGTGGAGTCCATGGGTGGAGATACCAGGGGAGGGGAGGGGATTTTCTTTTTACCAGAATCCCACTGTGACATCACAAGGAGAGCAAATTTGAAACAGAGCATTTTTCTCTGTGTTGTAAGACTTATGCAGACCAAAAACAAAGCACTGGATGGGTTTATTTTCACATTTTGTGGATCAGTATACACTCAGGTTACCCAGATATATGTTCAAAAACACTGTACAAGTGGATTTTTCATATTATATCCCCTTTGAAGCCAAGCTGCTTTGATTTACTGTACAGAATTGACAAACATCTTGGATGAACGCTTCAATGTAAGAACACTGCCTTGCCTCTGAAAGAGAAACACATACTACAGAAGCATCTATTATTCAAACACTTCAGACCGACTAATGCTAAAGAAAACTGGAGAGTTTACTGTAGCTGTTGTTGCAAAGTGAGGAAAAGCATATAATGCTTCTTCAAGGATGACAGAGTCGATTCACAGCCTCCTCTAATGTTGTCCTTGATGTAAAATGTGTTGAAAAGCTGTTGGCAACCCATAGCAGATGATGTGTGAGTGCAGAAAATGCGTCATATTCAATAAAAATAACCTGTCGCCTTGTTTGGTGCTGCACTTGGGAGTCAGACACAACTCTCAGTGCAGGGTGGAAAAAAAAACAAATGTCTTGAGTGCCACAGGGGTAGGGAGGGATAAAGAGGCGAAACAAACACAAAGTGATCAAAATAGTGTCTGAAAGCCAATTTACAGTAATCTGTGGCATTTATCAAACTCTATTGGCAGGCTGCAGGAATCGCCACAAACATCAATAAAACACATTTGTCAGGACACAAGTCGCTGGCAAAGCTCGCTCTTATCCTCTCAAGCTAATTGCAGTAGAGATCCAACAAACAGTCCTCCAACACGACTAAGTAGACTCATATAATTGTCCATCATTATACATAACCAAACATTTGTTCTAATTAGAACTGAAAATATCAATACTTGGCTGGAGCGCAGATTATTAGAGCAGACTTAAAGGATAAAGCTTGGGGTATTCAATGTATTTTTTTCTCTGTGCTGTCCATCATCAGAGCCAACAATGGATCCGTCCCACTATCTGAGTACTGTATTGTCTTTGTTGCCAAAAGCTTGATGTAACTAGTTCTATGGGCCATAGAGCTCCGTTCTGTTCCTTAAGACTATTTACACCACAACAATGGACCCCAGTGTTGACCTGAGTGGCATGTTTCTTTCACTGCGATGAATATGAGCATTGTAGTATCTTGTGAATTAATCCCACACGATTGCAGCTGTAAACATGCACAACTGTACAAATATGTATTCATTTATTTATAAGGTGGTGCAATATAGCAAGTGACATAAAGACAAAACAGGTGCAAGAATACAAAGAGGGAAAAGATGACATATAGGGCTTTCACACTTGCAGAAATCTCCGTAAAAACTCTGGATATTTCCAGGACGAGCTGTATATATGTGAATGTAAACAGCTGAATTTTTAGCTCTGACTTCACCCAGAGTTTCTCCTGCCAGACTCCTCGTATTTTTCCTGTAGCAAGTCCGGCTATTCAGTTGCACTTGACAAAGTTAAAGCAGTACGGTTCACACTAATTGACTGCAGTGTGAAAGGAGATCCTTATAGGTTAGTTGTGAAGAACACGGGTACCTGATGTGTCAGAGAGAGTTAGACAAGACAAAATCCGATCGTGAGTCTGTAAATTGTGTTTTATTGTGAAATTGAACAGACAGTCCGTGCGTTTCGTTATCTGACTTCCTGTCCGGCTCGATCCATTCTGTCCAGCTTGACATGTGCTAGCAGCAAGCTCAGTCGAACAAAACTTTCCAACATATTTGAAACGGAGCTGAGCGGAGTAGCGCTGCTGGCACACTCCAGATGCTGTAGAAACAGGAGCACTGGCTAAAGTGGCAGCGAACCATGCTGATGGCAGTTACACTTGTACAGGACTAATTCAGCAAAGAGAAAAGAGGTACCATTGTCTCCACAGAGGGCGCCGAAGCAGACACCTGAAAGTTCCTCAAAGGCACTTTCAGTCAAAGTGTGTCCCTCTCAATCTGGGAATTCATTTGAGATGGTGGTGGTATGTTTACAGCAGAGTCCCAACATCCTCTATTGTTATATTTATCACTAACTCTAGCAAAGCTAAGCAGGTTTATTGTATTGTATTGTGTTTGTTTCATGTTTATTTATACTTGCTTTATGTGGACCTTTGGGATATTACTCACTAGAACATTCAGAAACAGAAACAGATACAACGACAGCTTCCACACTTTGGGATCTGCAAACACTTTTTTATCAGGATGAAGCTCATGGTCACATTCCTTCTGGGTTTCTCCTCCATGACTCTTCAGTTTAAGGCTGAAGCTTGTGTGGAGTCTAATTCTGTATTCCTTAACAAAGACAACTTGACACCATGAAACTGTCTTCACCGAGTCAGCCGGTGCTCTCAGCAAGCTAACCAAAAAAACATTCATTACCACCGGGTGTCTGAGCTCAGACTGAGTTATCCAAAGGCTATTGATACTACATGGGAGGAGAAATCAAAATAATTGGGCAGCTTCACTTCTCACCTCAAATTAACCTCCGAGGTAATTGATTGTACAGTGTGTGGCCAAAGACTGATTGGACCATTTGCGGGCAACGGGCGGTCGGTAGGAGGGTGGCTGATGTTGACCCACGTCCTTGCCGAGTCCAAAATCATGCCAGGCAGAAATTAGGAACAGATTTACGGGAATGATTGCTCCTGATGAGGCCACTTGTTGCCATGTCTCTGATCTGGGCTGTTGATAAAACTGACAGGATCTATTTTTGGACGACAGAATGCTGCGTTTAGGAGCCTCAAAGAGTTTTCTATTAGATTTAATCCTTAACCTATCAATGCACTTGGTCAATTTCCAAATCATCAAATGATATCAGGGTTTTCTGAGCTATCTATGGTTAATGCAACTGTCCATTAGACACTGGTATATTCAATCCTCTCAGTTTTCCTGAGTCCTTAAGATTTATGTGCCGTTTATTTTTAATCCAGTGAAAGAAAAAAGAAGACTCAGAAGTTCTGCCTTCATAATACAAACTGATAGAGTCAGTGCATGTTATCTGGAGAGCTGATAGAGAATATTCAGGTGGAGAAAGGAAGTGCAGTAGGGAGGATTTTTCATCCAAGACCTAAAAACGAGGTAGAATCAGATTCTCCGCTACTGAAATAAAACACCTTCCTCCCTAATCTAATCCTTTCTGATAGAAGCTCTCAAAGACAGTTCTCCGGCTCAGCTCTCACAATCAAACTCCTCCAGCTCAGGATGTGGATGTGGAATAAAACATAACGCTCTCTACAAATAAAGATCACAAAGCCTGGCCGTATATAACCTGTCTGGGTTTGCACAGGAAGAGTCTGCTGTGATCTGTATCTACATTTACAATTCATCCTATTCTCCGTCCGATGTCCTATGTCCTATGTTACAGTTTTGTTGTGTCAGATCTTAGCAGGGCTGTTTACATGTCTTTCTTCTCCAAATGTAAATCAATGCACAGGCCTGGTAGCCTACAGCTAGCCTTTCAATATTGCATGAAGCCTGACAGGATCATTTGATATTGTGGAAACAAACTGTGTTTCACCTCCATGTATCACATGTTTAGCAGAAAGTAATCAGAGTTATCAATGACTGTCAAGCTGCTGTGCATCAGGGGACCCTATTACAGAAACTGCTTATCTTACACCTTGCATTAAGATAGGAGTCGTCACCAATTTGGTATTACTGAGGCGAATCCTTACTTATTGTGGAATCCTATCTTATCTCAGGTTTGAAAACGCTCAATCAAACTTTTCCCTTTTAACCTGGTGATGAGGAAGAGGTGTTGGGAACACGTTTTGTGAACATTAGAACAAAAAATCTGCGACGCGACCTGTCATGCTTCTTGCTGCCGGCGAGCAGGTCCCGCGAACGTTAAGTCGTTTCTGATTGCTCAACACGTCCTGAAGAAAGTACTTCCGGGCCCTGCAGCCAATCATTGCAACGCGTCGGCACGAACCTGTCCGCGTTGTTACAAAAATCTCGGAGGTGCGCGGCTGGGCGCTCAGACCCTCCGCACCCATTGTTGCGCCGACCATGATTGCGCAATATCGCCACGCAGACCGCAAGAAGCATGAAACCTGATTGAATGAGTCGCAAAGTGCAGCACATGGCTAATTTACATAACGTTATCTTTCCGTGAAAACACTGTGGGAAGATACGAAGTCTGGCTAGCAAGCCAGCCTTTCTGTTAAACATCCTGTCTGATCATATTTACTGTTTGGTAGCCGTAGGTAAAGATGTTGAGAGAAATGTGTGCTAGCTTGAAGGTAACTTCATACAGATTTCTGGTTCATTATTAGCTCAGGCAACATTAAAGTGACAGCTGGTCAACACATGTTATAAGGCCAGAGGGAAAATAAACTTAATGACAATCAGCAGGAGCAAAACATCAGGTTAATATATTGATAATGTTACATATTTTATGATAGAAGATATTTAACAATATTGTCACACTTGATGACTACATTATGATGTTCTTCCAGACTCTGCTCTGAGAGCTACTTGCATAGTGACTGCCCTTCACGTCACCCCTTAGTAGAACATGGTAAGCCCTGTTCTGCAAATTCATCCCATTTATAAAAAGGGAATCAAGGTTGGGAGCATGGGTTTATCATGTGTCACTGAAGCTTTATCAAAAAGTTAAAACAGAACATAGCACATAATAAACCAAATCACATCTGGGACAGTATAGTTTCATCGTAGAACTATTAATATTTGCCACTGTCGATATAAGAACTTCAATGGCATTTGTTATGGCTTTGGCCCGTTCAGAATAACTAGCAAAAGTCTGTCTGTTGGGGAGGGAGGGTGTTCGTTCTATCATACTGCAGGTTATGCTCCCACACAGACGTGTCTCCCCCTCCCCTTTTGCGCCGCAGCGCTCGCTGAAAATGAAAACGAAACTTAAGAGTAAGTCCGTAAAAAGAACTCCATCTCAGTTATATGCAACTGTCCAAACCCACAGGGCTCGAGGAACTAGTAATCTGCAGAGTTTATGTTTGAACTTTTTTACAAGTTACTAACTAAAAGTTGTGTCCCATACCAGCGGCCTTCCTCCACCCTGAGGTGTGCTTCCACTTTGCGGTCCGTGTGGGAACACAGATTAAAGCACTTCTGTTCCGCTCGTACTCGGATTGGTCCGCATGCGACCAAAAGCCCTGTACCGAAACTGTCCGGTCCGAGTATTATACCTTTACACCCCTAGTGAGTATGTTCTTATTCTTCACTCTAGTCCTTGACTAAAACAGCTTTTATACACAAGGGGAGGAGCCGGCCGTCCCGTAAACACGGCCTGACAACAACACAGTCACAGCGGACTCAAACTTTTATGTGTAATATGTTGCACATTCTTCCTCTAATATAATACAAACAAATTAGTGCTAAAAAGTTTGAACCCCTTACAGTGTGTACCAATGAGAACAGACATTTTAAATTCTTACCTTTAATAGTCAACTCATCTGAATGTAAACATCAACAAGGAAATTAGTCACTCGGAAGATCACCACGACCAGTAAAGACAAAATCTGCGAGTCAGGATTTTTATGCAATAGGACCCCAGGTTTATGAAAAATCTTACATAATGATATTTTCATATTCTGAGATGACACACTGCCTTTGTTGATAATTCTGTTTCATTCTTCCCACCATTAAGTCTCTGTTTTGATTGCTGCATTCACCTCTTATTTTATGGTACCTCATCATGGTCTATAAGATAAACAAACACAGATTATTCCATAAAATCATTGCAGATGCATTGAAGAAGAAGAATGCAGGCACAAAGCTCTGGCCTTTGCAATCTAAATGTAAATTCAGTTTCATCATTCAGCTAAAAATAAAATCATCTTTTTTCTTGTATCTGTTCATTATTATTAAGGGTAGTTTATTTACTGATAAGCAGAAACTTTGCATTCATGTTAGACGTTATGCAAATTGGGCATAAAGTTTGCATTATGCTGTGAAATATGTGTTTTTATGAAAATGTAATATTTGAGATATGCAGCATTCCTTTATACACCGACAACCTGACGGGTTTGAACATGTTCATTAAAAACAGCTGAAGGTTAAGACACGAAATAGATCAGGATGATTTAAAGGAACAATATGTAGGAATTTAGTTTGGTGCACTTTGGCGCCCATCAAATGAGTTGATAAGCAGAGAGTGCGAAGCTGGCAAAAACATGTGAAGCAAAACAAACATGTCGACTGACAAGATACAGTAATATCACCGGATTTCGCACAAGTGAGACAACAATGACACTGATAACGATACAGCCTAACGTTCTTCCTCCATCACCGTTCTCTTCCTCTTATCCTCAGCGGTTGTATCAAACAGTATAGAGACGGCTAACTGGCTGCTTTTTATAACTGGAGGCTGCTGTGTGAACTAGTGCTGAGAAGCCTCATGCACTTTTCGCTGGATGACCTGCTGCCAAAGTTACATACTGCAGTAAACAGGCGATTGTGCCGCGCAGTGGACATGTGGAGAGAGATGGCATTCTCCTTGCTGTTGAAAGTCATTGCACTATTTAACTGATTGCACGACTGTTTAAAGGTTGAATATCTACATCATGTTGCTTAAAGAGTAACCTCTTTTGAAAGGTGTGAATCAAAGACCTCAGAGCATGACTAACTGAAAAAGATCATTTTAATCACCAATAATTAATTATAATGTAATTAATCATTTCCAAGATTGACCAACTAAATGTGTATAAACTTATTTTTAATACTGGAAATTGTCCATCTCAGTTTCTGTAAAATCTACGTGGGAGTCAATAACAGTCTTGATTTGTCGTTCCAAAACCAAGAGACATTCATCTTAAAATGTCAGACAGAGAAAAGCAGCAAACCTCCAATTATTTCTCCCTTTAAGACACGCTGTATGTCCTCATTATCAACATGATTTTCTCACCTGTGTGGGAATTACCACTCCTGCAATCACAATTTCTGATATGTAGGTGTAACGGGACAAATCCTTATCATTAGAGGAATAGTCTGAGTCCTCTGACGGATCATCAGATAATCCACTTAAAAGTGGGAATCTGGATCACTGAAGACTGTAAATCTTTGCAAGCTGGAACCATTCTCCAGTCGGAATATTTTCTCTGAAAATGCAAATTAAAAATGCATGCATGTCTGGAGCGGCATCCTGTCAACGAGCTTGTGTTGGTGCTGTATTTGCTGTCACCAGAGCAGAATGAGAGGAGCAGCATAGTGCTCATATAGGGATCATATTCTGACTCATACTTTGACTTCTTTGCAGTCCTCTTTAGGGTTGTTACGTGCAGCAACAACAGAAGTCCTCCTAGGAACCCATTATTGGGTCATTTCTTGTCTAGACATCATAAGGAAATTCCCAAAATGAATGCAAAAGCAGGGAATAATGATGATTAAAGAACATAAAGGTTGCTTAAATGAGAAGAACACTTCGGCCAACTTACTAACATTAAAAATAGCAATTATCGGTTTATCCTGGGACCCCTTTAACAGGTCTCCTGGGAGGTCCTCGGGCCCCTTCAGCACCCCCTCCCTTTGCTTTGAACAATAAATGTGGAGTGCGATATCCTCACTGTCGGGGTGAGAGTCTGATCTCTGACTGGGCCTCGAGTGTCTGTTTAATGAACAGCGTCCTTGTCCCTTCGGGGTCAGCTTCACTAATGAATGGGTCACTGTGTCGCACTCTCTCCCCTCGTTTGTTATTTGTCAAATCAGCCGCGTCTCGCTCTCGCACTCGATGATGGGACTTTTTTTTTCTCGTCTAGGTCAGAGATCATCTCGTCTGTCTGGCTTGCAATCGGCTCGTATATTCGATCATACCGCCTCTCCAAATTCAGAGAGTCTGGCTTCCATTTATGTGGAAAAGGTCGGCTGAAGTACAAGCTGGCTCAATCAGTAAACATTTAAGTTTTGCAGAACACAGCAGGTCTGTGAACTGTTCAGAAAAGTTTATACCAACATAAAGGAAATGTAGCCACAACTGTACAGAGTCTAAACTCCTGCAGCATTTTGTCAGACTGTACATGTACTTGATAAATGCTCTGGAGTGATAAGAAGCAGCAGGCTGACAGACAAACGTGAGCTAATGTATATATTGTGTAAGCCTCAGGTCTCCGTGGATTTGTTCTCCCACACAGTTCCAGCGAAAGAGAATGAGTTCGGTGGACTTGTCAGATTAAATCAAAGCTCCGAGAGATGATTTTACACAGGATTGATTTTACGGATGGCTATATATATTTTATGCAGAGCACTCACAAACAAACCATCTTGTAATGTCTTGATCATATTTGAAGGTGTAGTCAAAGCCTGAAATAGTCATCAAAATGATTTTGTGAAGCTTTTCTCACGGTCAACAGAACATGAATGGGGTTTTAAATCCAAAGCTAATTGGGCCTGATAAAGATCATAATTCCTGCGGCAACCTGGACGCCGTGACGTCAAGCTCAGGGCGGGAAGCCCAAATATTAAAGACGGAGTCTGCAGCATTGTTTGTGCAGCTTGTAAACACAACATTCAAACATGGCCCCTCCTCCTGGGCTCACTGCAGGACGTAGTGTGTACGTTTACTGTTATTACCTACAATGCAAGCTAAGACACGCTAGCACAAGCTAACCGCCGGTGTTTGTCACCTGCCTGTCCAACAGGAAGCAGACCAACTCCACGTCCCCGGGTAAAAGCCAACACAAGGTTCACCCTGGTTTTAAAACAAGCTTTATCCGCTTGGTGTTTCACCTCACTGTGATTATATTTTCTCTTCTTTGCCACTACGTCTGCGTCCGTCATATTCACCGGTTTGAATCTCGTCCAATCCCTGAATTGTATCCACTCCTAAACTCACCTGCTGCGCTGTCATTGGTGGGAGGAAACACACCAGCTCCCTGCCCAAGAACGTCCCGAGTCAACCAAAACATCACAAAACATCAAAACTCCAGTCAGAGGACAGGGTCTCTGCAGACAAAGTCATCACCACACATGTATGCAGGACCAGAAGGGAGGATTAAGCGGCATTACATTTGCATAAGTTATATTTTACTTCAGTATT